GTGTGTGTGTGTGTGTGTGTGTGGCCAGCTCAGCCCACCAGGGGGCGGGGCTGGCTGGCATGTGGTGCTGGGGGATTGAACCCTGGTCCCTGTGCTTTGTTAAGCTTGTTCTAAGTAGGTGCTTTAGACCACTGAGCCATCTCACCAGCCCCAAGGGAGTATACATTTTTTATACAACAGAAAACACAAGATTTACAATGATAGCCTAATATGTGAGTTGACCCATTACAGCTGCATAAAGAGAGGATGGCTCAAGAAATGAAAACAAAGACATAAAGAGAGAACACACACACATACGGGGGGGGGGGGACACAGATAGACAAAATAGACACACAGAGACAGACAGAGAAGAGACAGAGAGACAGAGAGAGACATATATAGTGAGAGACAGAGAACTACGGATTAATGTTTCAGACCCTGGTATCCTGGGCAAGAAACAAGGGTCAGAAGGAGCTGTGGTTACCAGTTCTGAACTCTTTCCTCCCTGCTATGACTCCTGCTTTGGAGCCAGCCAATTATAGACTGAAACCTCTACAAACTCTGAGTGAAATAAACCTTTCCTCTTCTAGCTTTTGAGTGTGAGGTTTTTCTCTCATCAAAGGAAAAATTAATTAATAGTTCAACAAAAATTGTATAAACATAGGTACATTGTCCCAATATTCCCCTTTTTGTTTCTCAGTGATTTATTTCTTGGTTTGTTTGTTTGCTTGCTTGCTTGCTTGTTAAGCCTGAGCCTTGAAGTGTACTTTATCTTGACCTTGAAGTCACTATGTAGCTGAGACTGGCTTCAAACACACAACTATCTTCCTGCCTCCACCTACTGAATGATGCTTTTTTTTTTTTTTTTTTTTTTTTTTTTTTTTTTTTTGTACCAGGGATTGAACTTAGAACCCTGTGCTTGGCAAGCAAGTACTTAAGTCTACTGAGCTAACTCCCTGGCCCTGAAGGATGCTATCACCAGGGGTCTCAGTTCTTCATATTTTTCTTTTGTTTTCTTTCTTTCCTTCTTTCTTTTTTTTTTCTGTTTTTTTTTTTTTTTGTTTATTTCTTTGACTTTCAAGATTTAGGCTATAAGGAGATTAAAATAGGAAAAGAGTATTTTATTTTTATTTTGAGTTATTCAAAGGAAAATTACCCAATCTGCCCCACAGTGTGAAAAGCAAGTACCAACAAGATATGCAACTGTTTTCACCTACAACTAGTTTCCTGCTTTCTCTTTGGTACCTTTCAGGTTTTAATGGAAACCACAGAAACCTGGGTGTTTGGCAGACTCCTGTCATCCCAGCAGGGAGCTGGCTGAAGCACAGGGTCAAAGTGAGTTCTGGGTAAGGAAAGGCTACACAGTGAGCTCCAGGCCAGCCTGAACTGCTGACTGAGACCCTGACTGTCCTGTTCTCTGCTCTCAAATCCCACAGAGGAAGAGGGCACCTACGCCTAGGCCCACAGCTGGGGTGGGAGCAGGAAGATGCTCCATGTGGCCTTGGGGAAGGACAAGAGCAGGGAACAGTCAAGGCTGCTGTTGCTGTGCTTGTCCTGTATCTCTGCAGACAGATACTGTTCTTAGAACTGCTATCCAGTAGCACCTTAGTGCTGCACACCTATAATCTGAGCTCTCAGGAGGCTGAGGGAGAAGCAACACTGAGTGTTGGAGGCCAATCTGGGCTACGTCAAGGAGCTGAAGTGCAAACGACCCTCTATCAAGAGAAAATGATTTTTGTATTGAAGATATTGTTCATTTTCCATACACTGTTTACAGTACCAGTAATTGATTTACAATGTGTAAGAAAAAAATAGTTTTACAATAATTTTTACATAGTATAGCAGCCGGGGAGGTAGCTCAGTAGAATAAGCACTTGTCTGGCAAGCACAAGGGCCTGAGTTCAATCCCTGGTTCCGCAAAAAAAATTAAAAATTACATAGTGAAATATTTGATTCTGTGTTTTCAGTATATCTGTCTTCATTTTTAAAATGTTACAATTTACACCTAGGCGGGATGATTCATACCTCCACTCAGCAGGCTGCAGTAGGAGTGTTGCCCTGTGTTGCCATGAGTTTGGGCCCCGACTGACTGTATGGTGAGATCCTGTCTCCAAAAAAGAAACACAACATAAACAATGCAAAACAAAGCGAAAATCTTCAATTTACACTCACTGTAGTCACACATATGGCCTCTGCCCTGAATTGACAAAATTCATAGCATTATTTCTTCTATTTTTTTTTTCTCTTTTTGGTCTTCTTCTGACAAGTTTTCACTGTGTAGTTCAGCTGGACTAGAACTCACTGTGTAGCCCACATTGGACTCAAACTCAGAGAGCTCTTCATGACTTGGACTTTCAAATACTAAAACTACCAGCATTGGTTACCAGGCCCAGCAGGTTCAAAGTATTTTTGTTAGTCTCAATTTGTTCCTCAGCTTGGCCTCAAAATTATGTTTCTGCCTCAGGTTCCTGAGTGGCTGGCATTGAAGGTTTGGGCCATGCTGCCCTGATAGAAATGCACAAATTAGTACACAAAAAAACCAAAATAGTCCTCTATGGTGACTGTATTCATTCTCTTCTTCTGATGTTTTCCTGAAGAAAAAAAAAAAGGAATGGGAAAATTATGAAAATTATATATGTATATATAATATCTGAGATGAATGGACTACTAATTTCTATCAATTTTTTTCAGTATCAATTTCTGTTTAAAATTTTTACTTTGACTAACTCTAAATGCCAATATGTGCAATCTGAGCAAGTATATTGAGGACAGCAATGTGAATTATAACCATCCCCAAGCTGAATATTTTTCAACTTGTTCTTTTCTTTTCTTTTAGGGGAGGGTCTACAGGGTATTCAGGGTCTCACTACTAGATCAGACTTGTAGTGATCCACCTGTTTTATAGCCTCCCAAGAGCTGGGATTACAAGCGTATGCCACCAAGCCCAGTCTCAATTGCCATCTTAGCACCCCCTGGAAGCTGGGCTGGCATGGCAGGCCCAGTGAGGACTGAACCCCCAGCCCATGTGCAAGAGTGGGACCTTTCCTGCACTCACCAGAACCTCCTCCATCAGGCAGGTCAGCTGTTGAAATCTGCAGCAGAACTGCCTGCAGAGGCAAGGGCCACATCCACCCAACTCATCCAGGAGCAGAACATTTGCCAGAGGGGCACAGAAAGTTCACTTTCAGGGGCTGCAGCAGGACAAAGTGGAGCTCAGAAGCCAGACCCAAGCCAGCTCACTTGGATGAATTCGAACTTCATAGATCCACACCCAGCAAACTGAGACACTTTGCTAGACCCAGATCTATGAGACAATCCTCTCTCTTTCTCTCTTGATTGAGAGAGGAGGTAATAGGTAACCAGGGTGAACTAGTCTGCCTGGAAGACTACAGGTACAAAATGGGAGGTGATTAGATAGAATTTAGGGGAACTAATTTATTTACAAACAAAATCTATTATCTGATTAGCTATGCAATCATGTTTGTTCTTAGGGTCTGAAAGGCAAACTAATTAGCTACAAAAGTTTGTCAATTGCTAAATCTCACTACCCATTATTAGTGTTGCTAGTTTTAGTTCTGTAAATACAAAACTGTAACTGCCTTAATCACATATTCTGTCTTTGGTAACAACATCGGTACATGCTAAGGTAATAATTGCACCAAAGATCTACACCAAAGGTGTAGCCTGCAAAATTCTATTTCAAGTTTGGTGGAGAAGTTAAATACTTCCATAACATGATATTATAGGTGTGTTAACTCAGCAAAATATTCTAAAAGAGTCCATTAATCCATAATAGTATTGGGTCTTCTGCTTCACTGGCAGTGTCAGAAATTGTTGACCTGAGTCTCCTACAGCTCAACATAACAGCATGGCTTTACGTCTTATACTTTGTTTTTATACTTTTCTGCTGGATGGTTAAGACCAAGGTAAAGCAACAAAAGTTGTAGCTTTTGGATCTGATAAGGTCAGTGAAATCCCCTCAGGATTTATCCTGAGATCCTGTACCTCAGATTGTAGATCCTTTGTCAATGTCAGCCATGCAATGTCAGCCATGTGGATGAGTCATGGCCATTGCTTGGCCAATGTGGTATGAACCCAGGACACCAACCTTCTTTTTTTTTTTTTAATTATTTTATTTATTTATTTATTGTGTATGGCCAGCTCAGCCCACCAGGGGGCGGGCTGGCATGTGGTGCTGGGGGATTGAACCGAGGTCCCTGTGCTTTGCTTGGCTTAGCTTGTTCTAAGTAGGTGCTTTAGACCACTGAGCCATCTCACCAGCCCGACACCAACCTTCTGCCCGCTCCGTATTGTCCGTGCCGGCCTGCACGCATGATATTTTCTTAAATCAAAGGGTTGGTTGTTCAAAGGAATACTGACCATGCAACATTCTGAACATGTAAGTGACCTCATTTTCAGGAAGTCCATGCTAAATCCGTTAAGAAAACGGGCAGCTCTAAAAAGCCAGAAGTAAAAGGCCGTCCAAATAGCTCAGCGGATTAATAGCCCCAGCAAGCCAAGCCAAACAGACTGGGCGTGGTGGCGCGCACCTGTAATACCAGCACTTTGGGAGGCTGAACACAGGCGAATGACTACATAGAGAGACACTATAGAGCCTTACTAAAAATACAAAAAAAAAAAAAAAAAGCCAGAAATAAACTGCTTAAATTCATTTATTGTTAGGCAAGGTGAGGCTGACACTGTGAGAAACAGATTGGTACGGGGATGGTTTTCTGCCCGTGTGGCGCCCTGCCAGGGTCCTGAAGGCGCTGACCCAACACCTCATTGGATCCCCAGGTGACGACGCGTCCCGCCAGGACTCACTTCCCCATTCTTCTACTCCTAAAATAAACTTCCTGCTTCCTTTGAGCGAGTCCAAACAACCCTCCAATCCTCTCCGACCAGACGCTTCGCCCGCCCCAGTACAATTCACCCCTGAGCAACTCAGTAAAATCGGTTCCCCAGCTTCCTCCTACCAGGAGCCTTGCAGTTGCCGCCGGCAGCGCTCCGGCGCTAGCAATAAAGGCTTTCTTTTTGCACCTCCGTCAGTGTCTCTTGAAGACGCCAAAACCTCACGCGCAGTTCCCGGGCTACAAGCCGCGACTGAACGCTCCCCACGCCGGCTGCAATCTACTTCCCTACTCGTTTCGGGCAGGAGCCAATCCGTGAGAAGAGGCGGGCTGCAAGAGCCCTCCAGTCCCGAGGGACTGCGTAGGAGGGTGCTGCCCAGTCATGGCGCCGAAGTCTCGGTCCTGTGCGTGCGGCCGAGCCCCACGTCGTGCTGCGCTACTTCTGTGACTTCTGGCTGCACGCTGCGTGGAAATGGCTCCGTGAGACCTTGAAGCCACTCAATGGTGATGTTGTGGGAGGAAGTTAGGGATGGGTTGGAATCGCGAGGAGGTCTGAAGGACCTTGTGGCCAGAGCCAGCTGCAAGAAATCGCTGCCTCCCTCCCTGCGCAGCTCCAGACCCTGAGCATCTGCCGGTCTTTGGTATTTCCGTCCCTTTTTCCCGGTGCTGGGTCAGGATTACTTCCGGGTTCCCTGCGTCCGTCCCCTCTGTGACACCTGTAACCCACAATCCTGTCTCGGTCACCGGAGGAACAGCCTCTTCTACACTCATCGTGAGAGCGCAGGGTGGGAGGTGTGGGGAGACGCTGATCCTGGTGTGGGTTGGGGCTGGGTGCAGCTGGGATACGCTGCGTCCTTGGTCTCAGTAGCAGGCCTAAAGGTTCTGATATTTATAAATGTTTGTGATGCAGGGTCATATACACATTTCTTCAGGTCTCTGCCTTTTTATTTATTTATTTTTTTATTTTATTTTTTTTTTTTTTGGTGGAACTGGGGATTGAACTCAGGTCCTTGCGCTTGCCAGGGAAGCGCTTATTCCACAGAGCCATCTCCCCAGCCCCTCTGCCTTTTTATATTCACAATGAGTCTTACATTTCCAGTATTTCTTCATGTTGCCCAAATCATGGCCTGTGTTGCTACGAAAGGTCTAACACTGAGGGTGCTGTGACTCAGGTGGAGTGTTTGCCAAGCATACAGTGAAATCCTGCGTCTGATGTTGAGTACCGTACTCTTTTATGTCAGACCCCTACTCACAGTGATAGGAACAGAGCCTGTGGTCTCACAACGCTGTGGAACAAGGTCAAGAAACCCAAAAGAGAAATTAGCTCCCTGACCATATTTATTTATTTATTTATTAAATTTTGTGTGTGTGTGTGTGTGTGTGTGTGTGGCCAGCTCAGCCCGTCAGGGGGCGGTGCTGGCTGGCATGTGGTGCTGGGGGATTGAACCATGGTACCTGTGCTTTGCTAAACTTTTTCTAAGTAGGTGCTTTAGACCACTGAGCCATCACACCAGCCCCACAAGTAACTATTTAGAATTACCATTTGGCGCTCAGATCTTATACCCTTTCTCTTACCATGCAAGTTTTATAGAAAACAGGGATTTTAGAGAAAAACTGGTTGTTCTGCAGTTTAAATTCCTGGAAATTGAGGAGCTCTGTAGGGAGTGGCTGCAGCTCCTGCAGTAAGGAGGGGCTGCATTCCAGTTGCCCGAGGAAGTTCATTCTGGGACCTGTTTCTGTAGCGTGCTGTTCTTATTTTCTTTTGAGCCTCTGTTCACTTTATTTTTTTTTAATTATTTATTTATTTATTTATTTATGTGTGTGTGTGTGTGTGTGGCCAGCTCAGCCCACCAGGGGGCAGGGCTGGCTGGCATGTGGTGCTGGGGGATTGAACCGCGGTCCCTGTGCTTTGCTGAGCTTGTTCTAAGTAGGTGCTTCAGACCACTGAGCCATCTCACCAGCCCTCTGTTCACTTTATTCAAGTACTTTCTATATCTCTGTTAAGCTGAGTAGACTTGAACAGAACCAAAGACTCATATACTAAGATTTTTAAATAGATTCTTTGAGTTCTTAATTCATATCAGTATGGTTATTTCCCAGCTGTGTCTCAGACCATTTCCCCTAGCTAGGTGCCTTACTCATCAGATAGCTAAATGAAATATTTTTTTTTTTTTTTTTTTTTGGAACTGGGAATTGAACTCAGGCCCTTGCGCTTGCCAGGGAAGCACTTATTCTACTGAGACATCCCAGGTCCTAAATGATATATTCTTTACAGTAGGCTATTTAAATGAGGCCTTCCCAGGGAGCCTAGGGTGCTGAAGAAAACAGAGGGGATGCTAATGTATTACTAAGTGAGGGGAAGGGGTTCTCTGTTAAACCTTTCTGAAAGATTTCTCTGTTAAACCCAAATTGAGAAACACATCAAACTGGGGTAGTGGAAGGAAAAAGAGGGCTCTCATCTGTGAAATAATTGCTATACTTTTATGAATGTTTCTCCAATTGTTTTAAATTTGAAATATTGGTGTTAGGACGGCAGCACAGCAGAGAAGCAGAAGTGAAAGAGAAGAGTGGGGTGCTAGGGTGCCTGACTGGAAAGCTCAAGGACCCGAGTTTGCCACACCCCATGCCACCCCGAAACCAAACTGGGCATGGTGGTGCATGCCTGTAACCCCAGTGCTGGGGAGGCTACAACAGGAGACTCACTACACATATGAACTATATCAAGACCCTGTATCAATAAATAATAAAAAAGGGGGGAGGCTTTATTAACTGAGATGGGGATAGGATCGAAGGCAGGGAGATGGGGAGATCTTCTGCACTGAGACAAAAGGCTGAGACTATGGCATTTTGCCAGGGCGGAGTTTGAGGGGCAGGTTCAGTGACACACAAGGAGCAGACTGAGGGCTCCCTTCTATGCTTGGGAAGGGCGTCCAGGGCTGCAGTGGGGCAGGAGGAGGAAGTGTCATTGGGAGGCTAAGCTGTTGATTTGGGGATTCAGCCCTGCTGGGTCAGGGCCAGGACCCAAAGTTAGCAGTTTGTACTCTGGCCGGTAGTTACCAGTTGATTGAAACGGACTTTGTGTAAGACAAGTGCTGAAGCAGAGCTAAATCCCCATAGGTAAGGTCTACAGGTGCAAGAAGGAATAGAAATTAAAGAGATTTTTAATTAGGGAGGAACAAGGAAATAAGGAAATGGGAGAGCAGGGCTTGTTTGAGGAAGGTGGAAACAGCAGCTACCTGTGAACTCTTGGACTGAGGTCAGGTTGTTTTGAGTGTGACAGTCATTGAAGAGTTCTGTTCTGCCTTGGGCTGAAAGTGGGTTAGAAATCAGGGACTTAAAGAAAAGGGGAACTTAGCAACAGACACTGTACATTTGTCTGTGTCTTCAGTTACTACGGATCAGTTCACCCTACTCTTTGTGAGGCAAAATTAGAAATTATCAAAGTAGTCTTGTAGGTTTGAAACTGTGGTATGCATCATCATTGAAGAATAGGAAGGTTTTCTTTTGATTACAAAAGATTTCAAGGAGTGTTTGATGTTTTCATTGTACCAGGACTAAACTCAGGAAGATTCCCTCAAGCCATACCTAACCTCCCCCAAGCTCATATTTAAAAATATTTTTGAGACCCAGTCTTACTAAGTTGCCCAGGCTGGGAAGAACTTTCTTTTTTAAATTTTTTTTTTACATTTTTTAATGTATTTGATACAGGGTGCCACTATGCAACTTGGACTCATAGTGATACGCCTGTTTCAGCTTCCCCAGCAGTGGGATAGCAGGCATGGGCCACCACACCTGGTCTTGCTGGCCAGCTTGGCCCCCTGGGGGTGGGGGTGGGGGCACAGCTTGTGGTATTTGGGGTTGAACCTAGGTCTCTGTGCTTGCTTAGGCAGGCGCTTAGAACGCTGAGCTATTTCCATGGCCCCAAGAACTTTTGATACTGTTTCTAGCTCCTTGGCTGACAAGCTGACAGGCATATGGCCTTTTGCAGGTTCAATATTAGGGTACTCTAATCACCACGATTTACCAAGGTTTCAGTGGCTCAGTAAACATCAGTGAGATGCGGTGATGCATACCTTTAATCCCAACCACTCTGTGAGACTGAGACAGGAGTATTAAAATGTTGAACCCAGCATGGGTAATTGAACAAGAACCTGTCTCAATGTGAAATAAAGATGTTGGGATATGCCTCGAGTCTTAACTCATCTAAAATGAAAGAGGCCCTGAGCTAAAT